GCTCTTCTGACCACCTGGCAGAGATCGCTCCTTTACGCTTTTCCCCCGAAAGTCCTCATCACAAGGACTCTCGAGAAAATAAGGCTGGAGGCAGCGACAGTCATCCTGATAGTTCCGGCATGGCTGAGACAAGCATGGTACCCATTTTTGCACAAGATGTCCATATGGCCACTCCCTCTTCACCCAGGGCTTCTCTCACAGGAGCAAGGCACTCTCCTGCATCCCAGGCTCGATGTACCTCACTTCACAGCATGGCTGGTAACTGGCTCAAAAATGACGAGACCCTTTGTTCGGAATGGGTCAAGACAATATTGATGAGCAGCAGGAAGATTTCTATCCGAAAAACTTACCTGGCAAAGTGGCGCAGATTTGCACCGTGGTGTCGTACTCATAACACGCAACCTCTCGCCTCTCCTCTACATCAGATCCTTGACTACATCCTCCAGCTCCACTAATCCGGACTTTCCATGTCATCCCTGAAAGTTCATTTAGTGGCTATCAGTGCTTTCCATGATTCAGTACACGGCTCTTCAATATTTTCTCACCAAACCACGAAAAGATTCCTAAAGGGCTTGATGAACATACACCCACCTCACAGGCCACCACCCCCGGTTTCGAACTTAGACTTGGTGCTACATACCATCGTTTACCCTCCTTTTGAGCCCTTAGCATCGGTACTGTTGCGAATGTTAACAATGAAGGTGATATTCTTACTAGCTATCACTTCTGCACGCAAAGTCAGCAAGCTGGGGGCATTGATGGGAAGTCCTCCCTACACAGCTTTCTCTAAGGATGCAGTGACATTACAACTACACCTGGTGTTTACGCCTAAGGTCAATTCATCTTTTCATATCAGCCAACCCATAGTTCTAGCCTCATTTTATCCTAAGCCGCACTCTTCTCGCTCCAAGGCCTTATTACATATGCTTGACTTTCGACGGGCTCTCTCCTTTTACATAGAGAGAACCCGCTCATGGAGACGTACGGATAGGCTGCTCAAATCGATAGCGCAGCGTTCCAAAGGCAATCCACTCTCGAGCCAAAGTATTTCCAGACTCATTACTACTTGCATTACTACATGTCATTCACTCAGAGCTAGACCACTCGCTTCACAGCCTATTGCTCACTCTACTAGGGCGGTGGCTACCTCCATTGCCTTTGCGCGAGGTGTCCCTCTTAGTGACATTTGCTGGGCAGCCACCTGGTCTTCCAGTACCTCATTTATGCACCATTATGCTATAGTATATCGTTGGGCCACAGACTCTGCTATAGCATCTGTGGTTCTCTCATCTGCAAAAAATCATTGACCCGGTGTGCACCTTGGGTACTGCTTTATAGTTACCTAGAGTAGAACACCCACGGGGACCACTCGAAGAAGAAGAAGGGGAAGTTACTCACCTTGCGTAGTAACGATCGTTCTTTGAGATGTGTTCCCGTGGATGCTCCACGTCCCGCCCTCCTCCCCGCTCCGGGTCTTCTCTTCTGTCTCGTTGCTGGTTCCGAGCAGTGAGAGGAACTGGCGAGGGACCAGACCACTCAACGAGAGAAAAGGCGCGAACGGCGCACGATGGCTACTGCTCAGGCACGGCACGGCCGACTACAGCTACGAAAAGCCTCTGACTAGCGGCGCCGGGACAAGCCTGACACCTAGAGTGGTGCACCCACAGGGACACATCTCAAAGAACGATCGTTACTATACAAGGTGAGTAACTTCTCCTTCTCTGAGATCCTGCAAGACAGTGTTGCAGCAGACTATGTACAGAGACGCTGGTAGGTGTTTCCGACAACCAGTGGGTCTGACAGTCTCGCTGGGGCCCTGGGTAAGATGTGCGGTAGGGGAGGGGCCCTCAGGTGGAAGGGGTAGACAAGGGCAGCCAGACCTCAGTGCTGCCTGGTCCATGGCACGTCCTCCCCAGCCCTCACATCCACCTGGAACACACCACGTAGCACTCTGGAGGTGATTTAAAGGGCTTGGGGCTCCAGGCACCAGTAGTAGCAGGCTGGGAGATTCAGGCCCTTTTGAATTGCCAGGCCCTGGGGCAATTACCACCTTTGCCCCCCTCTCCTGTAATTGGGCCTGCTGACAGTATGGGGAAAAGCTCATGAGTTGCAGCAGAAAAAGGAGAGAGAGATGCACCAGGGCATAATGGGGCTTCTCCAGCAACAAACACAGATACTGCATTCTCTTGACCTACAGGTTCAGCAAAGATGGGTTCACTTCCCTTGCAGTCAGTGGAGAACTCCATGTAAGCACCTCACTAGGCCACCAACTTTCTGTGTAGCATCAGGGGCTGTGTTTCCATGCCTACCATTGTATGCAGGAGGACAGTAAGAACAGTTTTAATGTAAACTGACCCTAGAGAGCCACAGTGGCTGTTTGTGTAGGCACAGTGGACTGAAATGGACATGAATATTCTTTCCCCTTGTAATTTATTTAAGAATTTTTAATTGTATTTTTTATATTGTACATATATTTTTTGCACTAGTTTGGGGAGGCAATACAATCATTTTTTTTCAATTAATGAATCTTTATTGCATCACAACATATGCTATAGAACAGGGTGGGCAATAATTTGTTTTGAGGGAGGAGCACTCCAAGATTTTGGAAAGTGGTCAAGGGCTACAATTTTCCGTGGAAGAGGGGCAGTTTCTAGGATGGAGGTTGGGTGCAGAAGGGTGCATGGGATAAGGGACTGGGGTGTAGAATATGGTGAGAGATCTGAGAGGGAGTTTGAGTGAAGGAGGGGGTTGTAACTTGGGCCAGGGGATTCAGGTGCAGGGTCCCTCAGACAGGTTGGACTCCCTGCCTGCTGCAGCCCCAGAGCATTGAAAATGCAACCTGCTCCCTCCACATGGCTCTCAACCTGAGGAGGGGGGAGAGGCTTGTACTGCCCCCATCCCCAGGCCAATCCCTCATATCCTATTAGCTGGCTTTTTCTGGCCAATAGAAGATGAGTATTGGGCTTGGGGTGGGGAGATCACCCGAAGCCTCCCCCTCCTTCCAGAGTAAAGAGTCAATTTAAAACAGCAGCTGCTGCATGCCTGAGGGTCCCGGGAGGAGCGTCCATGGGCCGGATCTGGTGGCTTGGCGGGCTGAATCCAGCCTATTAGAGGTATCTTGCCCACCCCTGCTGTAGAATGTCTAGAACTATTTAAAGTACCCACTATTTGTCATTGTATGTGGTGACAGAACTTATAGGATCCGTGACAGAATGTAATAGTTATAAAGGTATAGCTAGCACTGCATATATACAATGTTATCATCATAAATGTACATCAGCCACCACACAGTTCCCTGCAACTCCGAAATTTCAGGACCAGGTAGAGAGCATAATTCATGACACCATATTACTTTACTATTTGTGGCTAGCTATTAAAGTGCTCTTTCAAGACTTTTAGCTGCATGTTGGCTGTTCATATTCATCAGATAGCCACTCCACCTCCACCCTGCTGGCAACATTTCCCCCTTTGCCTCACAGATATTATGCAGGATATGACTGGAAGTTATAATCATGGAGAGATTTTTCTTACTGAGATTCAATCATAACAGTTGATACTGACAGAATCCCCTCTATCAATCGTAAGTACATTCAACTGACATCATCTTCTAAGCTGGTTGTTGAATCTTTTCTTGGTGCTATTGAAATGACTTGGTTCATGAGCAAGTGGTTGACAGGGTCCCCTGGTATCACTTACTGACATTTCAGCTTCACCAATGGTAATCTCCTGATCAGGAAAAAATGTCCTTTGTTACAACATTATGAATCGTCCTCTGTCCTTAAACATGTAAGGGTATGTCTACACTACAGCACTAATTCGAACTAAGCTAATTTGAACTAGTGCATCTAGACCTAAAAACTAGTTCGAATTAGCGTTTTGCTAATTCGAACTAGCATGTCCACATTGGCTACGTCTACACTGGCCCCTTTTCCGGAAGGGGCATGTAAATTTCAAGAGTCGTCGTAGGGAAATCCGCGGGGGATTTAAATATCCCCCGCGGCATTTAAATAAAAATGTCCGCCGCTTTTTTCCGGCTTTTAAAAAAGCCGGAAAAGAGCGTCTAGACTGGTCCCGATCCTCCGGAAAAAGTGCCCTTTTCCGGAGGCTCTTATTCTTACTTCAAAGTTGGTATATGTGGTCATGCCAATTCTCTTCCAGAATATGATCTGAGGAAGTGGGTCTGGCCCACGAAAGCTCATCACCTATTAAACCATCCTGTTAGTCTTTAAAGTGCTACATAGTTTTTCCTTTTGTATATGCAAACTTAATAAGTGTACTCTCTATGCCATCATCTGAATTGCTGATATTTGTTTGTTAATAATTGAGTAAAACTTGGTGTCTGTGTGAAATCAAACATTAAAAGTGTGCTGTTTGATAGTGGGCAAAAAGTCAACAGTAAAATTTGCAGTCTGTTTTCCAAGTTGCTCAAATAGCATTTCTTTATGACCTACTAGAAAAAGGAGAGGAACATCCCCTGAAACTTCTAGAGCAGCAATCAAGGAGAATTGGAGAGGTTCACTTAGTTCTTGTTTGTTTGTGAGGGTTTTTAAATTTTGAATTGTTGATTCCTGTTCTAGCTGTTCTAACAAGTGTTACTCACCTTGTGACACTCTGTTTTGTATGTCTACTTAGGGTCTGCTCAAGTTCTCACAGAAGTCAATGACAACTTCTAGTGATTTCGGTAGGAGAAGGATTGGCTCCTAGAGATGTTTCAGAATATCAAGTAAAGAAGTAGATAATAGGCCATTAAGCCCAATTCTGCTCCCACTAAAGTTAGCCTCCAATGGGATTATTCATGTGAGTGAAATTACACACTTAAGTACGTGGTTGCAAGATCAAGGCATATGTGACACAAAAGCAAAAGGAAGGAGTGTAACATGAGTACAGTGGTTAAGGTGGTAATAGTCCCTGAGGAAAAGAAATGCTTGAGTAAGAAGGACATTGAGAGTTTGTTAGAGTTGGTGGGGTATGTGTAAGAAGTATGGAGTAGATAAATGTTAAATATTTATATATATATTTATATTAAATATTTATATTTATGTTAAATGGTTATATTGTATGAACCTCTGTAGTCCGGCATTCTCTGATTGAGCAACATCCGTGGTCCAGCCTCATTTTAGTTAGCCAGATGCCCACTTATCATGGGTGTGTCCAAGTTTCCCACATTCCCAATAAAGTTTGTTTACAGCTGTGAAGGCTAGAACTAGAACAGAGTTTAAAGAGAAGTTAGATAAATTCATGGAGGCTGGGTCCATGGAGTGGTATTAGCCAGGGGATAGAAATGGTGTCCCTGGCCTCTGTTTTAGAAAGCTGGAGTTGGATGGCATGAGACAAATAAAGCTTTCCAGAGAGAGTGAGCTTTTGCGTGTGTTGGCTAGAGAGGTTTGGGGAAATAAACTCGAAAACTGATGCTTTTAATAGTGGTTCTTTCTACCTTTGGAGAATATTCATTCCTTATAATTATACCAGATTGTATCAAGGAAGCTATCAACCTCCATCACTTTCTGTTTTTACTAGAAACATCCCCAGACCCTAAATCTTGGCTGGCCTATAGCAACAAATTTATAGCATTTCCGCCTTCTGATGAATGCAAGTAGGCAAGGATGATATAACGACTGCAGCATGAAACTGTCACTGTAAGATACATTCAGAATCTTAACAGATCACTCCCCCACCCCCATATGTTGGCTGTCCTATCAAAAGGAACTGTCTGTTCCAGGAGTTTGACAATTCTTTTCTCCAGCATGTCACTCAACTAGGGGCAATTGCTGATTTTAATTGCTAGAACTGTGTCTCAAATTAATAAGGAAAGACTCAGCTATACATGTAGCTCATTATAATGTGTTCATTCTTATTTAGGAATAAGTGCTTCATTATATTGTTGGACAGTGTTTTAGAAACAGTAGTTACTAAATGGCTGACCTCTGAATTTTCCATCTTTATAGTGTGCAGTTAATGAGGATAGTAGTGGAAGCCCTTACCTAACATCTGCTAGTGATAACAGGAAATCTTATGGCCACAGTGTTGGCAATTTTTATAGTAACCCTTCATCATTTTAAGTATAAAACTAAATCTCTCCTCTTCACTGTGACTGTTTTAAATAAATGAGTTCCTACAGCAGAATGACTTTCAGTGTGTATAAGAGAGCTCTATTACAGATTTTGATTCAGTTTACAGATCTACAGGTCAAGATGCAGACCACAGTTTGCACTTGGTTCTTCTGGTCTCTCGGGTGGAGCCATCTGTGAAAGTTATGCCACCCATTTGGCTGGAAACTCTAGGGCTACATCTACACTACAAGGTTTTTGGGCAAAAACCTGCAGAGCGTCCTTGGTCAAGCGTGCTTTTGCACAAGTCAATTGACAATAAAACAGCAGAACAGAGGGCTTTTTGCAGTGTAGGTAAACCTCCTTCTACAAGGCATAACTCCTTTTTGTGCTACAACTGTTGAACAAAAAGGTGTGTGTGGATGCTCCACAGGGGTTTCTTGCGCAAATAGAGCTGATCCAAAAAAAGCCCAGGTGCTCTGATGGCCATTCTGTGAATGGCCTCAGAGCTTTTTTGCACAAGACTTCTTGCACAAAAACCCTACAGTGTAGATATAGCCTAGCATAGAGAAATATGGGAGGCAGATGCAAAGACAGACACACAAAATGATGTAAGAGGGAGTTATTTGCACTCTCATGACATTAGTATCAGAGAAATAGAAATTACAAGACAACATATTAATAAAAATGTTTTCACACAGGACAAAATTACCTGGATGTATAGACATGGGAAAGTTGGTGGATGTGATATATCTTGACTTTAGCAAAGCTTTTGATACAGTCTCCCACTATATTCTTGCCAGCAAATTAAGTAAGTATGGATTGGATAAATGGACTGTAAGGTGATTAGATTGTCGGGCCCAATGGGTAGTGATCAATGGCTCAGTGTCTGGTTGGCAGTTGGTTTTAAGTGGAGTTCCCCAAGGATCATTTCTAGGGCCGGTTTTGTTCAACATCTTTTTTAATGACTTGGATGAGGGGATAGATTGCATCCTCAGCAAGTTTGCGGATGACACTAAGCTAGGGGGAGAGGTAGATACATTGGAGAGTAGGGATAGATTCTAGAGTGACTTAGACAAATTGGAGGATTGGGCCAAAAGAAATCTGATGAGGTTCAAAAAGGACAAGTGCAGCGTCCTGCACTGGGGACAGAAGACTCCCAAACACTCTTACAGGCTGGTGACAGAGTGGCTAAGCAGCAGTTTGGCAGAAAAAGACCCGGGGATAACCGTGGATGAGAAGCTGGATGTGAGTCAACAGTGTGCCCTTGTAGTCAGGAAGACTAATGGCATATTAGGGAGCATTAGAGATGTTAAATTTCAAATAACTGACTAATCGAATAGTCGATGCAAATTACATCAACTATTCGATTAGTCAATAGGGCACTTCTGCCTTTGAAGCGTAGCAACAGCCATGAGGCTCTTACTACACTTCAAAGGCGAAAGCACTGCGAGGAGCACGGGGCCAGCGGCATCATGCTCCATGAGGCATTTCAAAGCATTAGTGCTACATTGAGCCTGGGGTCAGCGCGGGATTCCCCAGCTGATCCCAGGCTCCACATGGCCCTGCCACTTTGAAATGCCGCTTGCAGCCTGGGGACGCATCATCTGGCCCCGGGCTGCACATGGTGTTTCAAAGCAGCAACACCACATGGAGTCTGTGGTCTGGTAGAGGCTGCAAGTGGGTGGGGAAGCAACTAGTTAACTAGTCGTTCACATCCCCATGGTGCATTAGGAAGAGCATTTCCAGCAGATCTAAGTTTTTATTCCCCATTATTCAGCACTGGTGAGGCCACATTTGGAGTATTGTGTCCAGTTCTGGACCCCCTACTATGGAAAGGATGTGGATGTACTAGAGAGGGTCCAGTGGAGGGCAAACAAAAGATTAGAGGGCTGGAGCACATAACCTAAATTCCTCAGCCTCTCCTTCTAGGTCTATTTAGTCTGCAGAAAAGAAGAGTGAGGAGGGGATTTGATAGCAGCCTTTAGCTTCTTGAAGGGAGGTTCCAAAGAGGATGGAGAGAGGCTGTTCTCAGTAGTGACAGATGGCAGAACATGGAGCAATGGTCTTTCATTACAGTGGGAGAGGTCTAGGTTGGCTATTAGGAAAAACTATTTCACTAGGAGGGTGGTAAAGCACTGGAATGGGTTACCTAGTGAGGTGGTGGAATCTCCATCCCCAGAGGTTTTTAAGTCCCGGCTTGACAAAGCCCTGGCTGGGATGATTTAGTTAGGGGTGGTTCTGCTTTGGGCTCGATGGCCTCCTGAGGTCTCTTCCAGTCCTAGGGTTCTATGATTCTATGAATAGTGACCTAGAGTTGAATGAAAGGTATGTGTTTCAGCCAGCCAGACACCACCCACTGTGACGCATTTCCCTCTCCTGTTAATAGGGGGAACATAGGAGAGCTGATTTAAAGAACATTCACTTATCTCCTCTCCACCCACCCACCTGCCTCACTTTGGGGAAACAGCAGCAGCAGCCCCCTACCCAGCCAAAAAAAAGTGAGCTTCTGAGCCAGCCAGGGAAGTAGCAA